GAAGAGTTAGAAGTTAGAGAGCGTTTTAGAGAGGGAGAGAGAGAGGAATTAGAGGTTAGAGACAGGTTTTAGAGCCACCTCAATCATTTTTTTAGGCTAATATGAAATCTTAAATCCCGCTTGAAAAAGAAAAGTTAAGAGGGATTGCAACGAAATAAGTTTCAAAATTTTAGAAATTGACAAATAAGGAGAGGCTAAATCAATATGGTTATGGCGGGACACATTGCAAGGCACTTAGGTAGCGAGAATTCCAACAAATATTTTTCACTGTGGTTATAAGTTAGTTTCTCCAAATAAAGCATTTGAAGAATTAACCGCAGTGACAATCCTCAATAAACTGAGCCGATTACACACGCGTATCAAGCACAAACAAATTAAAAGCACCTCAAAAGCCGAATGTCTCTTATGAGACCGAATCTCGAAAATAAATCCATATCTGTCCCAAATCTCTCTTTCTGTAAAAATAAATTCATCTCCAACCCCACAAGATTATTTCTCCACTAAAAGTTATGAAATATAAGTAGGGGCAATCTAGATAAAATTCCCCGCTTATTTCTACATTTGGAGGGATATTTTTCTATTTACAAGTACAAGTAATTTCATTTTATAATAATAATAATAGGGCCCTTCCTTCACATATTCCTTAAAAAAATCCCACATATCCTTAAAATACAATGAAAATGACTTATTTGCAATAAAAGGCCTCTCACATGTGTACATAACACACAGTTTCGCACGTGCTTTACATAAACATACTTTGGGCACTTATGACACTCGAGAGAGAGAAACACGAGCCAGAGCCATTAGAGAGAGAGGGAGAGATGTGAATAATAAATTTTATAGAGAGATTTGGAGTGTGAAAGTTTTTAGAGAGAGAAAGAGGAGGAAGGCTTTGGCGCTTAGGGAGATGGAAACACGAGCGAGAGCCATAGTGTCGGACGTTTGAGAGAGAGAAAGAGGAGTTAGAGGGTAGAGAGAGAAAGATTTTAGAGAGAGAAAGGAGTTAGAGAGAGAGAGAGAATTGCAAACCCATGCTGGTCCGCTCGTGCCACCTCAATCCTTCTCTTCCTTTCTTTCTTCTCCTGATACCAAAGGAAAGAACGAAAAAAACGTATCGTGGAAGAAATGAATGCATGTGCTACTCGTTAAATTATATAAATCCCGTATAAGGCCGACCCATTGTAGAGAGAGAAAGAGCAGAGGAAAGAGAGAATAGGTGAGAGAGAGAGAGAGCAGAGAAGAGAGAATAGGAAAGAGAGAGAGAGAGAGAAGAATTCAGTAAATCTGTGCTCTGAATCCTGATAACTCAGGAACTAAGCACGATACACAGGGAGTCTCAGAGAGAGAGGAGTTAGAGAGAGAGAGAGAGAGAGGGAGTTAGAGAGAGAGGTATCTTCTATTTCTTGGTGTTCTTGTTTTCATCAAAATCTGAGAGAGAAAATGCCTGCCCAGAAGCGTTCAGTTAGTCCAGACTCTCCTCCAATGGAGCACAATTCGGATGGTACTTTCTATCGATCGTTTTCTCTCTCTTATTTCCACTTTCTCTCTCTAGTTTTTTCGTATCCTGACCCACAACGTACACTTTTTGATCTCAGATTCACAGGAGAGCCCTTCTTCAAGCGGGGACAAGGACGAGTATGTTCGGACTTGGATATCACCTCCACTCTTTCTCTCTCTACACATCTCTCTCTGTTTCATGGATTTTTTGATAGACCTGTTTGATGATCACCTGATATGCTTTACCGTTGTTTTCTAACATGGTTGGTTTTGTGGGGTTTGAGCTTTTGGGATTGAAACCAGCTTTGAAGTTTGTCGTGTTGAATGTTCATGGCGTGGAGATTGTTAATGCAGAGATGTCGTTATGAATTGTCTGATATTTTGAGATATGGTTCCTACGTAATGTGGCCGGCTTTGGTCCGATTGTTTCATTTGATCAATCTGATGAGAGAGAGAGAATTATTTGCTAGTGAATGGGGCAGACCAATGTGCTGTTCATACGGGTTCTCTTTGGCGTTCAATCTGCATTATACTTGCAGTCGTGGGGGTAGCTCCTGGTTACCTGAAAGCTTCAGGGGTCCTCCATGAATGTGTGTGTGCACGGGTGGGCTAGAGAGAGAGAGGTTGTGGGCCTCTGTCTTTTATTGTTTATTAGCTAGAGAGAGAGAACTGGGATGGGGGTTTCATGTTTCTTAGATAGAGAGGGCCGGGTTTGGGGGGGGCTGTTTCTTGCATATTTCTTTACACCGTGCTATTTGGTGTTCAATCTGCATTGGCGTTGCTCGTCTCTCTACTTGTGATGTGGGGGTACTTCTTGCATGGAAGCGTAGGGCCCATTGGATCAAACTTATTTGCATCCTGGAGAAATCCACTGCATATATTGGAATAACATCTTAAGGATAGTTGGAATAACATCTTGAGTGTAGTGTGTTTTATTATATTTGGTTGGGATTTCTGGGAAATTTTGAAACTTGGGTTTTGTTACGCAAAACCAAATTCAAAAGATTGTATGCTATGTCTCTGATGATTTGATTATTTTCTTCTTTGGATAAGTGTCCATGTTCATATAATTTTTAACCCCCCCCCCCCGCCTCCCTCTTTCACTGCTTCTGTGCATAAGTATCAAAATTAGATTTGATTGAAATCATAAGTGGTGATTGGGTTTCTGATCCTTGAAAATTTTATAGCTCATATAATCTCTGCATGCATAATGTAGCCAACAAGGAGACTGATAAAGGGCGTGCTTTTTCATTTTCTGTTGATTGACTAGACCTTGAGCATTCTGAATTAAGGATTACTTGCATGCGGTTACGAAGCAGTCATACTTGCATGCGGTTACGAAGCAGTCATACTTGCATGGAACTCTATCAAGGCCTGGACAACAGTGAGGGTTGAAAAGACTCGTTGTCTTACGTAAATGAAGTGCTTTCTGAGTTTCTTTTTCTCTATGAAATTAGCCACACCGTGTTTATTTGTGACTTTCAATGGTCTCTTTCCTTGATAGTCACTGCTTTAAGTTGTGGCTTAGAGGAAAACATAGTTCTGTTCATGGTGCCTATGAGATTTTATCATATTTCCACATTCAAGAAGTTACATGACATGTTCACTGCGGAACTTGACAGCCTATCTCTAGTTTCCGTGGAGATTCTTTGCTTATTTTTTGGGGTTAGTGTCATCCTAAGTCTTCATAGCCTATGATCCTGTTGGTGCCATCCCAAAAACTCATGCAACAGTCCTCAGGTGAATGCAAAGGTTTTTCTGTTTCAGTGTCCTAGCTTTAATAGTTTCCTTATTTTCACTTCTAATTAGATCCCTCTGAGTCTCTCTTCATGATTGTAAAGGCCACCAGTTATGATTTTTAAAAAACTTCCTAAACTCCTCTATGATAAAGATAAGGTTGGAATATGAGCTGTAATTTTGAACCTTTTGGAAAATGAGTGGAAAATTTTCCTTTTATGCTTTTAAATCTTCATGCTTAGTTGATCAAAACTTACCGAATGCTGTTACTCATTTTTATTATGGCAGTCATCTCAATACTGACATCGTAATATAAGTAACAATACATGAGAAGTTCAAGAACTTAGCATATGCCAAAGTTTTATCATGGGTTTACACTCGGCGGATGATGTTGGATTCTTAAAGTGGAAGCTCAATAAGTTTAAATTTATTCTTGTCACTATTTCATTTTGTCCTTAAATACATCTCATTGATCAAATTTTGTGGCCTTTGAAAAGAATAATACTAGATCCACATGTAATGCGGTGTTGGTCCATCGATTAAATGGGTTTAGTCAAATTGAATGGGTATGCCATCCGCATGCTAGTCCAAGTCATTTATGTTACCTGCATATGCTCTGCTCTAATCATCTTTCTGGTACTCAAGCCAGTGACTTGATATAAGTTTGACTCATTTAGTCTCTCTTGTAAGTCCTTAGATCCCACACTTGGTCAATCAGTACCGATCGATATAGACACTAGACTTATGGTCCTATTTTTTCGCACCTTGTAATTTCTTTACCAGTTCTTTCTATACTTGCCTTTTAATTAATGAAATCTTGTTGCTTTAACAAAATGTCTTAGTTTTGCACATTAGGACAGTGCACCACTAGCTACTAGGCTATGACTACATAAAATTTTGCGGTATCTTCATTCATAAAGAACAATTATCACCTGAAGATAGAGCTTCTAGAAGTCAACTATTCACTTGCACTTGTTGTGTGGAATGTGCAAGGTGTGATTCTGTTTGCGGCTATGAATCATCTTGGGAATCCTAGATCACTCAGGAGAGATACCTACCACCCCACATACCAAAAAGAAAGAAAAAAAAGAAGAATAAAGAGAGAAAGAAAGAAAAGCAAAAAGAAAGATGAAGTGAGGCTTTCTCTCAACTAGTGTGAGTTACACTGCTCTTATGTGATCACAAACTTGCATGATTTTACATGATCTTCGAATAATTGCACACTCATTGCAACTCCAAATTAGAAGCTTATTGGCAAGCTTTATTATTTTATTTTCCAAAAAAGAAAAAAAGGAAAGAAAAACTAGATGCTTACTTTCAGTTAAATGATATCACAAGGTTAAGATTAAAAATATATAATCGCCAAAACTATTTTAACATCTTCTACCTGTCCTTTTTTATCCTTTCTGTAATAATTTAGTTGCCCATCTAGCTGCATTCTTACAAAACAGATCCAGCCCCAAAGCCATAATAAGTGGACTTGCATGTATCTCACAAGAAAGATGATAGATACAGTAATTTGGCAATTATCCACCATGTTGTGAACACAATGCAACTTTCTTCTATGTCCTTAATCTCCAATTGAAATGAATCTAAATATTTGGCATTTGTTTTTTTGCCTAGTCACAAAATTGATTCAGTAGCTTTTTCTTGATTCAGTCATACGTGACTAGTCCATATAATGTAAAAGTTATTTGGCTGCACAAGTGTCCTTTTCCTCTTTCATGGATAGTATGTTTACAGAACTTCATTCTTTCTGCAACAGGATGTGATTTCTTCTTCCATGAGGAATATGCAGCTTAATGTTGTCACTTTTTTGTCTAGGTTTCCCTCCTTGCTAGGTGTTACCAAAACACCACAGGTTGATGTCAATGCTAGAATAAGCAAAGAACTCTTGGTTCATTAGATGTTTCTTAGTTCGCATTCAGTAGTCTACAGTGAGCCACATTTTGGTGCTTGTTTTTTTTTAGTGTGTTAACTGTTATATTAATTAAGCAAAAGGATTACAAAGCAGATCGTGTACAGATAGAGCGTGTACATGATTGGGTCAGCCCCTTGGCAGGTGCCCTGTACAAACCCCCAAGGGACCAAGAAAAAACTCTACATTGAAACGGCTTAAAAAAGAGAAACAAGGAAAGGGGGGGGGGGGGGGAATGTAAATTTGTAATATCCTACAAGCCCTAAGGATTGAGGCTTGTGCCTTCCCTAGCTAGAGCGTCGTACCTTCTTGCACAATTACCTTTGGGGGAGGACCATACATACATTATTCTAAACTTGCTTGGTCATTTCATAAAGTAATGTTTGTGTGATCTTGTTTTGATGGAGCCGAGAAACCCACAAACTTATTTTCTCTTCACATGCCAAATAATACAATGTAGGCGGTGTCCTGACTTGGTCAGAAAAAATGATGAGCTGACTGTTAGCTCACTAGTAGCCATTTCTAAAAATCTTGGTCTTCGTCATGAAAAGTCTCCAGATCCATGATAACATCATGGGGTATACAGATACAAATGTCCAAAATTTTCAGAAAAAGGATAATATAACTTTTCTTTTCCACCTGACACTATTATTATAGTGGAAATTGTATGATATGACTCGAATAATTTAATACAGGTTTCTAGCATACAGTCCTAGATGTTGCTTTTATGATTTGATTGCAATTTGAATATTGACAAGTTGTGTTTTTGCTTATGAAGGTTTGTCCTGGTCAAACTGTCAGATATACGCAAAGAAGTTCAATGCCCCATTTGCTTAGGTAACTTTGCTTTCTATTAAACTATTTTTAACTCTTTGTTTTACGTTTGAGATATATGCAAGTGCTCTTCGTAGTTAGAAATGCAAATACTTAATGGTGTAGAGGAGTTTTGAGTCATGATTCTCTCTGTTTGGGTGTGTATGTGCATGGTTAGAGAGAGAGAGAGAGTTTAGAACTGTATAAGCACAAATTTCAGATGTACCAGATGCATTATTTGTCCCATTTCTGGACCATTTCCTGAAATCCCTACTATTTATTCAGTTTGTTTTTCACTAGCATGTCAGCATGGTTCTGATTCCTTCATACTGACCACATAAAACACTAGGGAGTGCATGGGTAATTCCTTTAAAATATGGGACTGCATTGATGCTTATTATTATTTGTCTTCCCCGGGGTGTTGCAGCTTTTATGGCAATGAGCAAGTCATTGGGTCTATGTTTTTCTAGGTGAAAATAGGTTTGTGGTGGGAGAGGCCCTTTAAGAAAGTAGTTCATTCATCATGTCTTTGATCTCATGAGGGGTCTGTGATCAGGTCAACATCCTGACAAATGACATGAAATGAAGGGGATTGAAGAAAGTGCCCTTGGTCGAAGTAGTCCTTTCGCCAAGCTTTCTTGCAGTCCTCTTGAGTATCAGCTCTCCCAGCTTATCGAGTTGGACTTCATATTCTTGAACCACACATAAAGGCAAAGCAAAACTTGGTAGATGGAAATGAGACTAGTCACCTAAATCTTGGCAGTTCAGCCACCTCTGAATCTTTATTTTTTATTTTATCTTATTGCATTTTGAGCTACAGATCTACTCTTGATCAATCTAATGTTGTGTGTGGTCCTCATCACACCATGACACAAGTTTGAAACCAAAGCCTGTCAAATGGGACTTGCTATCCATAGCTCTACTTGTGGAAGAGCCTGGAATATGTCTCAGTGTGGTTGCTTTACTAGGCATCCTAAGTCCTAACCCAGATCCATCAATATAGTGAATGAGAAAGGTGACTATGGGTGTGCTTGCCAAGGCATTCTGGAGATCTTGAATAGCCTTTATGAGTCCCAATTATCTCAACAATAATAAATAAATAAAGAGTTTCAATTTTCTCAATGGAGAAGGTCACATTGGAGCCAAATTATGCATCCATCCAGTTCGGTTCACGTTTTAGATGTCACCATAGTCCATTTGTCCCATCATATAAGCAAGAACTTCCAATCAACATGATCATAGGCTTTATTTATGTCAATTTGACGTCAGATGTTTCTTCTTCTAGATATGGAGTCTGAAGACTCATAGCCCACAAGGGATTTACCCATTTTGCGTTAGTGTTTCTTCCCCCACTCTTCACTTTTACTAGTTGAGAGAAAGCATAAGTTGCTTCATTGCTATATGTAATTCTTCAGACTTGAATTCCTCCTTATGTGCTAGAGTTTCTCGGCATACTGTGATCCTCTGTGAAATGGATGTTGGTTTCACTGTGTCAGAATCTAGAGAGAGGAGAAAAGAGAAAAGAAAAAAAAGAAGAAAGAGGAGAGAGAGATGAAAGACAAGAGAAGAGAGTGTCGTGAGATCCACACAACCATTACACTCCTATCAAACTATATTATTAAAAAATATGTGAGGGACAAAACTACCCATTCAAATAAACTTAGGAAACTTAGATCCTAGGACCTAGATAATAGAGGTCTTGTAGTACTCCCCCTCAACCTAGAGCATAGGTGTCACCCATGCCTAGTTTGGAACATATTACGACTGAGGCCTTTGGTGAAGATGTCTACCAGCTGCGGATCCTGAGATTTCACATATGGAGTAGACATTTACTTTCTAGCAACTTCCTCTTGGATAAAATGCCAGTCTACTTCAATAGGCTTAGTCCTTTCATGAAACACTATATTAATAGCTATATATGTGGCATCGTTATTATCGCAATGCATCTTTCTAGGTTTAGCAATGGTAAACCCCATCTCCTGCATCAGTGTTTTTAGCCACATCAATTTACATGTAGTTTATGACATTGCTCTATCTTCAGCCTCTGCACAAGATCCATGACATCATTTTTTTTCTTGTTTTTTCATCTTACGAAGTTTCTACCAATAAATGTACAATAACCTATGGTAGAATGCATGTCAGATGGTGAACATGTCCAATTAGCATATGAGTAACTTTCAATGGCTAAATTATTATTTGGCTTGTAAATCAAACCTCAACCTAGGACTTCCTTCATATACCTTAAAATTCCATGAACAACATCCCAGTGAGGAATCCTGGGAGCATGCATAAACTTACTCACAACACTCACTAAAAAGCAAAATCAGACTTGGTGATGGTTAGATAAATCAGCCAGCCTACCAGTCTTATGTACCTGCCTAGATGCTCAAACAACTCTCCCTAATCAGCCAATGATTTTGTATTTGAATCCATAGGCGTATCCACCAACATTCCAATTTCTGTCAACTAATCAGTCATGTATTTTCTTTGAGACAAACTAATGCCATGCTACCTAGCTACTTCAATTCTTATTTGATGTCTCTTTAAATGACTGATACCTTCTTGGTCATGGCCAGTAACAATAATATCATCAACATAGCCAAACTACAACAATTATTCTAGAGTCTTATTTCCAAATAAACATTGAATGATCTGAATGACTGCGCTGAAATCTATTGTCTATAACAACTTCACTGAATTTTTCAAACCATGCACGTGGGGACTGTTTCAGGCCATAAATGGCTTTCAACTTGCACAATTTATCCAACTACCCCTGAGCAACAAAGCCAAGTAGTTGCTTCATGTACACCTCTTCTTGTAAATCACCATGGAGGAAAGCATTCTTGATATTAAGTTGCCATAAGGGTGGTCATCTCTTGTTGGCAGCAGCAAATATAAATATACAAACTGAATTAAGTTTAGCAACAGGGGCAAATTTTTTATAGTCAATGCCAATTGTTTGTGTATATCCCTTGGCTACCAACCTGGCTTTTAATCTTTCTATGGTGACATCAGGCTAATATTTGACTACATAAACCCATTGACACCCGACAGTCCTTTTTCCAGCTGGCAACTCAGCGAGTTCCCATGTATCATTTGTGTTCCTCGACCTTTGCTGCCATCCTCGGCCTCTTCCTAAGTCAAGACCATGTCCTCGACCACTGCCACCATCACCTCTCCTTACAACTGTATTTAATGCCAATCCATCAGTGATGCTTGAGTCAAAAGGAGTGGAAGAAGAAGATATTTTCACAAATTGAATGTGCGTGCAAATATTACTGAGATATGGGACTTCATTGCTTGCCAAGATCTGTCCATATACAACATTGTACATATGACTAAGGCTAGAAAAAAATTTGGCTACCCTAAATTCTCACTCACACACTTATCCTGTTGCAACTGAAATATTCTCTCATACAGCTCATATACCTGACCGATATTTTTATTTGATGAATATGTTTCTTTCAAGGTGTCCCAAATTTCTTTAGCTGTTTCAAGAGACATCACGTTGGTACTATTAAGGGTTCCATACTACTACACAACCAGGTCATGATTATGTAATTCTCCGTCATCCCTTTATATCTACTATCAGATTTACTAGGCTTGTCCTCATTCGAGAATTTCAGTTTCCTCCATGCACCAATGGATACTTTGACAGATTGAGCCCATACAGCAGAATTGGACTCATTTAATTTTACCGAGGTGATTTGTATCCCCGCAGTTTTAGGAAGACTAAGGATTGCAGGTTTAATTTCCATATCCATGAACATTTAAAAATAAAGAGGAAAGAGGACAACTAGGATTGGCAAATTTCAGTCACACACACAAGCCCAGTACGATGTTCGGAACCACTTAAAAGGGTAGAGATACTTAACATTCAGGCATCGATTAACAAAGCTCTCTCTGCTATAACTCATAGATGAACCCAAATAGGCCTCCTATAGCTTCAGCCACTCATTCGAGAGGAATAGTTGCTGAAAGAGCAACACAGACATCCACAGCACCCCAATGGCACCATATGCATGCACACACACAAAAAAAGGGAAAACTAGGAACCCCTTGATGAGATGAACATCAATGGGGTTTGGGTTTCCTGCTTTTTAATTTTTCTTTCATTTCTTTTCTTTTCGAAAGGAAAGAGGAAGATGAAAGGAAAAGGGAAGATCAAAGGAAAGGGGAAGAAAGGGAAAAGATGAAAGGAAGGGGGAAGATGAAAGGAAGGGGGAAGATGAAAGGAAAGGGGAATATGAGAAGATCAATTCAGATCTGCTCTTATACCATGTTAGAGAACGTAGAGAGAGAAAAGAGTTGAGAAAGATGAAGAGAGAAGAGAGATATGAGAGAGAGATGAGAAAGATAGAGAGATATGAGAGATGTGAGAGGGAAGTGAATGTCGTGAGGTCAACATTCACCTCACATACCTCTCAAACTAATATATATTAGTAAGATATGTAATGACAAAATTGCCCATACAAATAGCAAAGGACACTTAGGTCCTAGAACTTAAATAATGAAGGACTTTAACAACTCTAGAGTCTTGTTTCCAAATAAGCTGTGAATGATCTGCATGATTGTGCCGAAATCCATATGCTATAACAATTTTACTAAACTTTCAAACCATGCATGTGGGGACTATTTCAGTCTATAAATGGCTTTCTTCAGCTTTCTTCAACTTACACACTTTATCCTTCTTAGCAACAAACCCGGGTGGTTTCTCCATGTACACTTCTTATAAATCACCATGGAGGAGAGCATACTTGACATCCGGCTGCCACAATGACCAGTCCTTGTATGCAGGCACAAATATAACCACTCAAACTGAATTAAGTTTAGTGACAGGGGCAAATGTTTCAGAGTAGTCAATGCCAAATATTTATATATATCCCTTGGCTACCAATCTAGTTTTTAATCTTTCTACTGAGCCATCAGGTTGATATTTATTGTGTAAAACATTCATTTTTCTGGCTGGTAATTGGGTGAGTTCCCATGTATTATTGGAATGGAGTGCATCCATCTCTTCTTCT